GGGTGTTTACACTGCCTATCCTTCTCTTCATCCGTGCCTGACGAAGGCGTGTTCGAAGCAATTCATTTGATTCCTCAGCAGGTTCTAGCCGACCGTGAATAGAATTACTCGAACTGGTTGCGTGTTGTGAGAATTCGATTTTTGATTCTTCTTCACATGCTCCATTGGCCGGTTCTGCTCCACTGCTGGTCCTTGAATATAACTTGCGAACTCCCCTCTGGCTATCAGCATCTCTACCTGTCTCCTTAGGTTCCTGCATTCGTTAGTCTGGTGGCCAAAATCAGAATGAAATGCACAGTGTTTAGACTGATCCCTCTGTTCGAGAGGTTGCCTGATTGGTAAAGGAGGTCGGAACTTATCTTTATTTTCTTGGTACAGTCTTGCTAGGGTAACTTTCAATGTAGTAATCAGCTCTTCCTCTCTGGGCCTCTTCTCAGATTTCCACGAGGAGCGTTGCGGTTGGACCTGTTTTTGCCTGATCTTTGCTTTGGTCTTTTCTTCCGTAGATATAACGGATGTCTTCCGAGCGTTTGCCGCCTCTTCTTCTTCCAAGCGCACAAATCCATCGGCTCTTTCGTTGAGTTCATCCATAGTCCTCGGCGTGTTGACCACCAAACTTGTGTGGAACGGGGTGCCACGATTCATAGCCAGAATGAATGCTTGAACTGCCGTTGAAGGGTGGCATTCAATAACCATGCTCTTGGTAAGGTTAAACCTGGTTAGGAAAGCCTGGAGAGGCTCTTCAGCGTGTTGCTTCATTGTGAATAAGCTCGAAATATCTTTCGCTGGACGCTTGTTTCCATAGTATTGGCTTATGAACCGATCGCACAGGCTTCGGAAACTATCCACCGAACCCCTCGGCAGGTTCTTGAACCAATTCAGAGCTGGTCCGGCTAGACTCGTAGGAAAGCACTTGCACATCAAAGAATCATTCTCAGTGTTTAGAGCCATTTACAGCTGGATGTGATACACATGATCGATCGGATCAGTCGTTCCGTCGAATAGAATGAAAACAGTTATGGAAAATTTCCTCGGACTCGGAGCAATCAGAATCTCATCGGTGAACGGTGAATCCACCGTTCGAGCTGCTGAACGGAGTGCTTCATTCTCCCTCTGGAATCCCGCGGCTGCTCTCTGGTCTACTGATCTCCTCTTTGAGCTGTGATAGTCGAACGTCGTCATGGAAGGCCGGTAGGTCGGATCGAATGATCTATCCTCAACAAAGTCCTTGCGCCATGGAGGCATAGCTTTCTGACGAATCAACTATGTTGCTTCACCTCGGCTGAGCGTTTCTTGATGTGGATCAAAAGTCATCGCTTCGTTTCGCCTGATCTGCTCACGCCGTGGATCCATGTGAATTGATCCTTCATGATCATCCATACGACGAAGATTTGGCGGCAGACTGTCTCGCCGGATTTCCTCGCGGTGAGGATCAACTAGATTGTTTTCAACCTCTTCACCGTGATGTGCTGCATCGGTACGTGCACCTTCTTCGCCTACCGGAAGTGGTCGTGGAATTACTGGAGCTTGTTGACGCTGTATTTCATTCCTTAGATCTGCATTTTCTCTCCGGAGAGCTTCGATCATGTTCATCAATTCATCAAGTTTCACTTGCTGGATGTTCTCAACCGTATTAGAGTTGTCACCCCCTATCATGATTTCGGATCGAAGCAAAGGCATGAATTACGAACTTCGAAACAGATCTAAGCTTTACCGATGCAAACTCTGCTAGATCTGGGCTTAACTTTACCAAATCGTGATCGTTGTTTGCTAGATCTGAACTTTTCTAGCTTCAAACTCGTCGGATCTGACTGCAACTGAGCAAATCGCAATTGCGTCCTTCTAAAGCAAATGCCTCAGAATCCACAATAATCAAGAATTCTCTCGGAGCAAACTACAATCTCACTGATCTGGATTCAACTTCCAGAAGTCACACTGCATATTCATAAACTCGATTGAACTAATATGGTACTGATCGGGCTCGAATTGATCTTCGTCCTCGGTTCCCACAGACGGCGCCAATTGAAGATACAAGATTTAGTCTCATCCCCACTCTCTCTCTCTCTAGCCTTTTTTCTCTACTTTCCACCCGTCATAGTCTATTTATAGGTGCAGTTAACCAATTATATTGGGCTTATAGCCGAAAGTTCTCTTCCTTCTGGGCTGGGTCTTGTAATGGGCTTGACCTTCCTTGGTGGACCCCCCACGTTCGGCCCATTCCAGGGTGCTTTGGCATGGATCCTTCTTCAACTATTCGACCCGATCTCGTTTCCGCTATCCATATTTGGCCCATGCCACTTGCCGCATCCTCAATTACACGAGTATTTTTTTGCCATTCTGCTCTGTCTAGGGTTAGACTTGAGTTAATCTGAACACTACTGTATTTTTCCATACCATCTCATGGTAGTGTTGGTATTCCCTTTTACCTTGCACTACCTTCAAATGTTGATGTTGTCGCTCTTTGTTACAAGTGCATCTTTTAATCTTTGTTTCACGTGGACAAATCTCTTAGATGTCTTTCTGGTTTTCTAATCAAAGGGTTGCTAATTCTACCTTCTCAAACTCCATCTCTAAGTTTCTGGTGTTTTTTTTTTTTTTTTTTTTTTATTTATTTTTTTTTTTTATGAGTCTCAAGCTCCATCTCTTAGTTATATGAAAAAAATTATTGAATTAATGGTCTTTGGGTTCAGGGGGAAGCATTTCTGTGTAAGTAGTAGGGAAACACATGTGGGAAGGGCAAGAATAATAATCAGTGGTGAAATCTAAATTGGAAAATTTTTATATTCCATGTGTCATGCTGTATCAATAGCAATTCAAATGTCAAATTTAGAAGTGATGGGTGCGTTGCAATGAGAACCCCCTTATTCTCATTGAACAATAAAGCTCTTTCACTCAACTTATTTGAAGTGTTAGATTGTTCAGCACCTGTTAGTAGAGTCATTGCTGTTAACTCTTGAAAAATTCAGTATCTTGTCTCTCTACTTTCAACGAACAGGGAAATGGTCACTGTCAATATCAATGTACATGTGTATTGGTTGAAGGAACTGATCTTGGATGGTTGAGAGAGAATCCAAGAGAGCTAGTAACGGTACCAAGTCAATGTGAAATTCTAATGTATTGGTTGGAAGCCAGGACTCTGATCCTGATGGTAGAGAAAGAACCCAAGATAGCCAGTAACCTTAATGAATCAAATGGAGTTCTAATATATAGTGGCTGACAGCTTTCACTAAATAATGGGGAGGGGTTTTTTTTTTTTCCCCCATCATCTGATGGCATATTATTCTTATAAATCTGCTAATAACCTCTCTGAATTGCTTAACTTATGCGGCAAGTGACATTGATTAAAGAAAAATGTGGTGGATTATAATATAAACATAGTAATTTTCCTAGATAGCTAGATGTTAGATGTCTCAATATCAGGGGAGTATTGGTAAGCAGTTTCTGTGTTGTCTTTATGGAAAATATAGAATTAGTATTGTTTAACAGAACTCTCATTCCTCTTCTGTGAGGAGCACACGAAGCTCAATTTTTTTTTTTTTAATCCAGATTCATTAGTTGCCCAAAATCAATCTCTCTCTCTCTCTCTCTCACACACACACACACACATACACACACTCTCGGGTGCACACACACTGTGCACCCTTTCTTAGAGCTGGCAACACGTGCCTCATTCATATTATGTTGTGCAATTATTCATTATTTATATTTGAGGACGCTTCATCACTATGAAACTCACAAGTTCTTCTAAGAAAGAGTTTAAGTTCAGTTTTATATGTTTGCAGGTAGCTGCTGTCCCTGAGGATGTTGGGACTGCTGGTGCTCTTCGGGCCATTGCAGGTCATCTGACTGCAAACGATATCTTGGTTGGAGTTCTTATCTTCTATAGTGTTTGAGTTCAAGAAAAAAAACAAAGGTTATTCTACTAAAACTATTAGTTCTTTATGCTTATGCAGGTTGTGAGTGGTGATATTGTTTGTGATGTTCCTCCTAGGGCAGTGGCGGCTACCCATAGACGACATGATGCAGTAAGAAGGTTGCTTTCCAGAGCAACAAAGTAATGCCGTCTCAACTGCTGGCAAATGCATCTACCCCAAGCTTTCATCAACTCTATGCCTTTGGTGACAATGGTTTTTCTCCTGCTCTGAGGAAAACCCATAAATGCTGTGTTTATATTGCCAATAAAAGCAAGTACTGTGCACGCTTGAATTCGATTAAAGCTTTCAGCGACATAAATCGAGATGTGAGTTTTTTCAGTTGAAACTTTTTGTGAGTGCTTAGAAGTTTGTTTTACTTTTGTGTTTCTTTTTTTCTCTTGCATTTGTTTGATCAGGTGGGGCTGATGGTCATACTTAAGTGTGTCAGGCCATAGGAGAAGCAAGTCACCTGTCAGGATATTCATTTTCTGCTCAGAATAACATAATTCATCCTTCAGCGGTTCTTGGTTCAAAAAGAACAGTGAGTTGCTCTCTCTTCATTCAATCTTTGTTTATGGAAAACTTGTTGGTTTATTGTAACTGGTTTATTTACAAAGGAAATTATTAGACAAAAAAGGTTTAGTGATTAATAGTACTTGTAAATAGTTTAAATTGGTGTTTGCATCTTGCTAGATTAGAATATTTGTGGTTCACCGACTCCAGGTCATTCTCAGTATGCTCATAAAGTTATTTGCTTTCATTATGCGGGCCCACAGTGTATATTGGGGGAAGGTTCACAAATGGGTGACAAATGCAGTGTGAAACGATCTGTTATTGGCTCTCACTGCCAGATAGGTTCCAATGTAAAGGGAAAATGAAACTACTGTAAAGAGGATGTTATTATGAAGCATCTACCTCCGAAGAAGAAAAAAGAAAACCATAAAGGATTTTCATCTATATATTATTTGGTTACAAAGAGCTGGAACTTTTATTATTAACTAATACTGGACTTTATTTATATCGTAGACTCGTTGCAGAACTACAGTTGAGATAATTGCAAATTGTTTTGATCCCTTGTATCCGCAGGTTGTTAATTCAGTTGTGATGAACCATGCTATCAAGGTTCCGTTATTTGCAGTAATGTACAGCTCCAAGAGCGTGTTGTTTTGAAGGACTATCTGGTTTTGAAAGACTGTCTGGTTAAACCTGAAGAGTACCCTTGCCTCACAGGACTCTGTGTCTCGGACAATAATTGTAGCCTAGAATTGCTCTTGTTTGTTGTACTTATAAACATTTTTATCAATTTTAGGTACAATGTCTATAGCAATTTGTCAGAGGAAGTAGACTACAAGTGGTTGTGTTGAAAACATTTTTGTATTTCTGCAATTCATGTGCTTTCAATGTGCAAGGGTTTTATACTGTATTTGTGCCATCTACGTGCTTTCAATGTGTAAGGGTTTTATTCATCCCAGTGAGGTTCGAGTACTTAGCCTCCGGTGAGCATTTAGTCAGGGGACCCCATTTTTGGTTCCTTTTTTATTCGACGTGAAAAAGCCATCTCAATAATTTTGGCACCCGCAGAGGAATGGGAACAGCTCTTCCTTCTCCCTCTTATTCTGTAGATTGATATGGTCAGCTTATCGATAGGGAACAAATGTTTCTAGCAAAGAGAATTGGGTTCAAATTGGGTAATAAGGTCACTATTTATCTGAGAATACCAATTGTTAATTGGCAAATCTAGAAAAGCCAATTCCAGTTTTTGAGGATAAGATGGACAAAAACATGTGACCGGAAGCCTAATGTCACGAAGTGATTCCTAAGACGCTTGGAGGATGGAAGACACGCATGCTGGTTGGCAAAGAGCATAGTTTGACTAGGAATGGTTCCAGGGAAGGGGCGTGTAGGAGAACAGGATGGTACCTCTTAAGAGTTTAAGCAGGTTGACTCGGTTCAGTTCGTGGTGTGTGTCGCTGGTCGTGGACTTGACTATGAAGAAGGGAGTTAGCCATCCCTGCACAAATTGGTTGGGAGCTGGAGCCGTTCCCCTGATGAGACCAAGGCAGGTCGAAACCAGTCAGCATGTATCTTTGGGAGGGCAGGTCGTAATGGCTGACCAGGGCGCTTACGCGAGCTGAAGCAACGCCTTGGTGCTACACGGGCCGTGCCGCTGCGCCAAATCTCTGGGTCTGTGACAAATGGTATCAGAGCAGGACTTGGGGTAAGGCACGGTGGGGTGCCCCCTTGTCGGTCTGGGAGGGGTCAGAGAATGAAGACGGTGCACTGAAGCTGCGTCGAAGAGGAGGAATCAATGCAGTTGGGGGGGAGAGCCTCCATCTCCCTAGGAAGAGGCGTCCGTTGAAGTTGCGCATTGGAGGGCCGGAGGGCCGCGCGCACCAAAGTTCGTGCTTAGTCCGTGGGTGATGCAAACCATGGTGAAGGGCGAGCATCAAATCGGCAGGAGGCCATTGCTTGCTCGGGATGTCGTGGAGGCGGCATGACGGAGAAGAGTCACGTCCTTGAGGAGTGGTGTCCTTGAGGAGTGGACGTCCCCTTGGTCCGAGGCTTATCATTGGGCGAGTGCAGTGCAGGGAGCTGCACAAGGAAGCGATGGTAGGAAAACGAGCATACCGCATGGAGGCAGACTTTGGAAGAGAGTGGGCGCAGTAATGAAGCGCCGCACTACGACGAGGGCGTCGCAGGATTTAGGTGGGGGAGAATGTCACGAAGTGATTCCTAAGACGCTTGGAGGATGGAAGACACGCATGCTGGTTGGCAAAGAGCAGAGTTTGACTAGGAATGGTTCCAGGGAAGGGGCGTGTAGGAGAACAGGATGGTACCTCTTAAGAGTTTAAGCAGGTTGACTCGGTTCAGTTCGTGGTGTGTGTCGCTGGTCGTGGACTTGACTATGAAGAAGGGAGTTAGCCATCCATGCACAAATTGGTTGGGAGCTGGAGCCGTTCCCCTGATGAGACCAAGGCAGGTCGAAACCAGTCAGCATGTATCTTTGGGAGGGCAGGTCGTAATGGCTGACCAGGGCGCTTACGCGAGCTGAAGCAACGCCTTGGTGCTACACGGGCCGTGCCGCTGCGCCAAATCTCTGGGTCCGTGACACTAAGCTCTCATTTTATAGTGAATAACTCTGGTTTAGTTTTCGAAAGTTTGCTGAGACTGACAATTGAAGTTGCGAAGCAAGACATGTTTGGTTTAGTCCGGAGAAAATAATTTTTGTAACAAGCCCTCTTTCCAACTTCTGCAACCCCATTCTCAATTCAGAATTTTGCACTTAGGCGCCTGTGACGACCATCTTTCATTAATATACCAAAGCTTATACACCACAAGACAAAAGATCATGCCAACAGTTGATGTACAAGTACTCATAAATCATTTAATGACTCATGAATAGCTCTTATTATGATTACAAAAAGAAAAAAGAAAAAAAAAAGACAAAAGGAAGAAAGCGGATGCCATTATACATCATCATCATTATTGCCTTAATCCCATAACAGTGGGTTCGGCCACATGAATTCTCCAACCTCCATTGTACAATATACTTTTCTCTCATAACATAAGCAAAGTAAAGAACCCAATTTAGACACATCCAGCATTCAGAGGTTCTCACCTACTTGAAAGATGTGAAGAAGCTGACTGTAAATTCCACTTACCTCCCCTGAAACATTAGAATAATATGCAACACATAAATCTACTGCACTGGAAAGGTCCTGAATTTTTGTATATACCTGTTGATCAAGAAAAGTTGCAATATCTGTAGGATGAATGTCTTTAACGTTGAAAGAAAAAAGCGCAGCTCGCTGGACAATTTGGGAAGGTACTGGGCAATATATTTGTACGTTGGGGAGTGATCGTAGGTTTTCATACAGATAATTAGACAGTTCTACCTGGAAACACAAAATTGGAATCAAAAGCCACCGAATCATACAAACATCCCTCTTGGTATAGCATACCTTTAGAATTACTAACTTCTAAAGTCATATGACTCATATTCACTCCGCTTTATATTAATGTAATGCACCAAAAAAATCAGAACTCAGTTAAATTCTTGCTCAAGTTTTTCCTAATTTGATATTGGAAGGTGAAAGCTTAATCAGTAACACCTAAAATTCTCTCGTAAAGTAAATTATCTAGCAGAAAATGTAAAGAATAATGTAAGAAGTTTCAAAATGCAAATAATAGGCTGCAGCTGCACCATTTACTATGAAAACTTTATTGAGAAATTCGTGCCCTACTCGAATGAGTGATGCTTCCAAACCCTAGGATAAATTCATGAAAAGAAAAAAAAAAATTGTGTGATACTAGGTTTCTCATCATTATTCTACAATTTGCTGTTTTTAACAAGTAGCAATTGCAGGTCTCAATTGAAAAGGTTTCTAGATGGCTGTACCACTGTCTTTCACTAATCCCGCCTTGAATTGAAGTCGGGATTAAAAAGAATCTGGAAAATCCATAAAAATTAGGGAGGGCCATCTCTAATGGACCCACCACCCAGATGAAAAATATATATATGAGAGAGAGGGAGAGAGAGAGAGATGAGTGAGTAACCGACTAATTGAGTACATGCAGAAATCAAATATGTTGTGTCCACAGAAGAACGAAGGCCATCAGATTTGAACTCCATTTCTCTTTATATCCAAATTTAGATACATGGATTTCACTCATACAAGTGACAAATTCTAACACCTTAATTGAAGAGTGGATGTACAAGTTGGGCTGGTCCAACCTAGTCTAGTCCCAACCTAACTTCAACCCGAATCGGGTTGGGTTGGGCTAACCCGAATTATACTTAACATGGATTGAGATCATAATCCGGACCGAATATTTTCGGTCGGGTTGGGTCGGGTTGATCGGTTGAATTTTTATTTTTATTTTTTTAAAAATTTAATTTTATATATATATAATTTTTTTTTGAATTTATATATATTATATTATATATATATATATATGTATATTATATATATTTGATTATATTATTATTAAAAATATTTTTTTTTTAGGGCAATCATTTTGCCTCCCCAATCGCCTCAATTTGATTATATTATTATTAAAAATATATATTTTTTTAGGGCAATCATTTTGCCTCCCCAATCGCCTCAATCTCTCCTCGTTCTCTACTCTGAAATTGCCACCCCTCTCTCTCTCTCTCTCTCTGTGTGCAACTGCAAGCTACAAAATCAACCAAGAATCACAAGTTCAAAACCCATATATTTCTGTTTATCCATCTTTCTGCAAGAATCAAAAGTTCAAAACCTATGGACTTTCTCTCTCTCTGCAACTGCTAACTTGTATGTATGGGTTTTGTTTTAATTTATTTTTGGAAGTCACGGCGGCGGAGGGACGGCGGTTGTGGATCAGTGGCTGAGGCGAGGGACGCCGACGGTGGATCAGTGGCTGACGCGAGGGACGCAAAAAAAAAATTTAAGCCCCCCTCTCAACTCTCAAGCTTGCCCCCCTTTCAACTCTCAGGTTTCGTCCATGGACGGCGGCAGAGACAGAGAGAGAAAGAAGAGAGAGGAGAGAGAAGGAGGAAAAAAAAAAAAAAAATTTGGGTTTTGGGTTGGGTTCGGGTTGAGCTCGAGCTCAACCCGAATATGTCTGGGTTTTGATAAAACCCAACCCGAACATGAACCCGATTTGTGAATATAAGTCCTAATTTTAAATTTTTTGGGTTGGGTTGGGTTAACCCGCCCCGCCCAAGTTGCAGCCGCATGTACAATGATTTACAAACTAGCATATAAAATGAAATAAAAAGGTGGAAGGCAAGTGCCAAAAAGGATTCCCGCTTATAAACACTTACAGGGAAAATCCATAATACACGGCCATTAAAATACTTGATATTAATATTAAATTTAAGGCTGCTGAAATGGTGTAACACGGAATGCTTTATTGTTGATGTAAGCCATCGTTTCAAACCATGAGGAACAAGGAAGCTTTTCATATAAATTCACAAAACAACACGTGTGCATGATATAGTAAAAAGTTTTAAAACACCAAGTGGGGACAAAATCGAGGGGGCATAGTTAGAGCAAGTGAAATAAGATGATTTGGTCATGCGTAGTAGAAAACAATGAGTACCCCAATTGAGTCACTTGTGTGAGTCTTAAGGGGTGGAATACCTTGGAAAGGAGAAAAAGGTAACATAGAGTCAGGGATTGAGATAGTAAGAGATAATGTCGCAGCCAACAATTGACAGGAAAGAAGACTGTAGTATGAGATTCAGCCAACTCATACCACTTGTTTATAACAAGCTCATTGCTAAAGCATTCAAAGCACATTGACAAAAAGTAAGGTCTATGTATCTTGATCAAATAATTAGACCATTGAGTTAGTATTCAAGTTTACGAATGGTTGGCAAAGTGAGATTTCTTACTTGATTCCTTAACTAGCACAACAATCCAAACAAAGACTAACACAACAGCCAGAAATCAGAAACAAACTTGACAAATAATCTCCTTTAATTCAAAGGTCAGATCTGGTTAATAGAAACATGACTCCGCCCCTGGCCCTAATGGATCACAAAAAGGAGATGATTCGCCATAACATAAATAGTCCATATTTGCAGAGTTATTTGGGGAACCCTCACTAGTTTTTAGTGATCTCTAAAAAGTACTCCTTCCCAAAATTAATGTCCCTTTTAAGGACTCCAATTTTCTAAAGAGACATCCACTTAATGAATAAAAAAGGAGGCTCATGAACAGTATGTTTTCTTTTTTCAAACCCATAACCTCCAAGTAACAATGGAGCAACCTTACGTTGTTCGCCAAGGCTCCCCCTCATGCACTTAATGCACATATGCCCTTAAAATTTCAAAACTAGCCCTCCAAAAGTTTTAAGGATATATATTATTGATTAGGAAAGTTTTTAGAAGTCGGATAATTTGGAAAACTACAATTGGATTACATTTAACTTTCAAAGAAGACCTATTTTGGGACATCACAAAAAGGAATGAAGGACACTAACAATAATGAGAAAAAGTATGAGATACTGAATCTTTTAAAATAGGGTAAAATACGAGAAGTGAAATTTAAAAAAATAAATAATAAATTAAAGGGAAAGCAGGTAAGAGGAATGAATGGAAAAACAATATTACTCAGGAACATTTCTATGCCTCAGCCTGTTAAACTCCCACCATCTCCCATGTGCTTCCTAGATGTTTCCCTCGCATTGCGAAAAGTGGGATCCCCATTGTCAGAGGAACACTTGAAACTCATTTCCAACCAATAATCCCAGAAATGCCAATATTTAAGAACTCGTGGTTATCAAGCATGGTTATTACTTGACTTCAAGAACTCATCCACAAGGCTTTAATATCATAATATATGGCAATAACCTAACCTTGTGAGAAGAAGCAACAAGAAAATCAGCATCAACGTTCTGGACATCAACCCCCATGTGTGGAACACTTGGCAAGCATCTACTACCACTTTTGCCCAACATCATGTGCCCAAGGCACAATTTCATGAATTGGAAGAACAGAAGCTACAACAAAGTACACCAAAAAAAAGTTCATTGATCTTATTCCACATTAGAACACACTAGACATACATGCAATCCTAAATCTTTTAAGCAAGAATTAATATAAGTTTGTTTCAAATAACTACAATGAGACCCAGCTTTTAGAATGTTACATGTCTAGAATGTTGTCTATTGACACAAATGCTAAGTTTCAGATCTATAAAATTTGGCGCACTAAATTCTCCAACTAACCAGGGTACCAGTAATTAATATCACAAAAGGCTCAGGCCCAAGATAATGATTTTTACTCGTGTTAAGACCCTACAGATTCGGATCAAACCCTACCAATAGTAATACTTATCAGCCATATATCTCAAGACTCATCCCTACCTCCAATTCCCTGCCCCTCCCAAAAAATAAAAAGAAAAAGAAAAAGAAGAAGAAAAAGAGGGACCGAATGTCTATGTATTGGCTGGTAATATTAAACAAGTCAACTCTATGTACTCCAACCGTGACGTTGGATAAAATGCCCACAACCTCCTCTGACACACTTGGATGAAGTGGAAGAAAAAGAGAGGTTATTTATATTAATGTACAAAAGAAAATTTCCAATTAACTCACCAACCACATTTGAGATGTGATGAACAACCACAAGTTTTGTCTTCCTTGAGAGCATCTCTCTCAACTTCCCAGTATCTGGAACTTCGTCTCCAGTTAAGCTCACAAACCGTAAAACAGCACCAGTCTTTTGAGCTACAAGTTGCCAAGGAACAATGGCACTGTGATGTTCAGCAACTGTCAGCACAATCTGCAAGAAATGTGGCATTGAGCAATGCTTTGAGCAGGATATGCGGATTCAATTAACCATTTTAAGATGAAAGTCCTAGAATGAGGTTGGAATAGAGAGATCCACAAAATTACATAAGAACAGGAAGTGTAGTGATCATGAATAGGTTGTGAAAGAAAATGCATATTTTATCGCGATTTATAGTTAAAGTATGAAGTGAACATAATCAGCATCAACAGTTACAGAGTTAGATCCAAAACTTTAAATTAATAAAACAATTTCTCCATGCATAATCAAACTCTACGTTGTAACTGCTCTAGAATACAAAAGAAACCCAGGTATTAACTAGTAACCCAGAAATAAACCTCCAATACAGATTGCCTTCTATTTCAGATAGTGCAAAAAAGTTTATACACCATATTCACCTAGTAGAAAACTTTGCAATAAAAATATCTGATATTAGGTGAATATGGTGTATAAGAAACATGTAATAAACATTTTGAATACAACTTGTAATTTACCAGAAACATGTTGTGATCCACCATCAATGAACAAATTGAAATGACTAAACTTTATTTATATTCAATTAAACATTAGAAGAATGACAATTAGCTCAAATTGTAACATTGAGTCAAAAACATGAATTGAACAAAGCGCAACAGAAGAACACCTCATCTCCTGATTTTAAATTTGAAAGGCCCCAAGACTAAGCAATTATACTTCACTATTGTTGTTCACAAGTATCATACACCGGATGTTGTCCTGCTTTTCACACATGTGAAGTCATAGTAGTTTAAAAGGATGCTCTCTTAAATTGGCATTAAGATATTATATACTATTGTTGTTAATGTTATCTGTCAATCTAAAAATAAAATAAAAGGGTTAGTTTCATTGACACGCTTTCAGATTTGATCAAATATTAATTTGAAACACCTTTCGAAAATTAGTATTATTTAGGTCCAATTTTACTTTTCTGTAGCATTAAAAATGTGTAAAACAACAATTTTATTCTTAATTTTTTATTCTTTTTATTCCAAAATATCAAAAAATAAAAAATAAAAAGACTTAAATACCCTCAATTTTCCCCCCTCTCTCTTCACCTGACGTTGAATGATTGCAACCATGAAACCATAACACACCACTTACACTGATGCCCTGATGGTAGAGCATCAAATCCTCTATTTCTTTTTGATTTGGCAGTCAATGATTTATTTGTTCTCAGAATTGTACAAATGGGTTTTTGAATCGCAGCTACGCACTTTTTGTTGCAACAATTCTTCTCTCTTCTCTGATCAAACTGATCTACAATCCGGCCAGGAAATTCATGAGCAACAATATGTCTATTGGTTGTAATATTTTGCTCATTATAGTTTCTGCTGGGGTCAATTCAAGAATTGTGGTCTTATATAAATATATATATGGCATCCTCTGCTCCCGCAAAACTCCATAAACATCGGAAGGAAGTTCTGAACAAGAAAACAGCCAGAAAAGCTTTAGTCATACCAAAAGGTGAAGCAGTGAACCTGCTCGTTCGTGGCGTCGATGCAGTTTCAGAGATGACCCATTTGGAGTGAAGCGATGTAGGACCAAACCCAAGAGAGAATGGGGTCGTTCTAGGCGATTGGAGAGCAAGAGGTCTGTTCCAACCTCTCCGGAGTCGTAGACAGGGTAGACCCAATTGAGGCCGACGATGGAAGACTGGAGGTTGTTCAAAGCCTTGCTAAAGTCGTCGACGGTGGTGATTGCGAACCCTCGCAACTACAATTGTTGCCTTTGCTGAATTCTTCCTTGAAAGCTCCTTAGCCGGTGGTGGTCATGGAGTCTGTATATTTGTATATACACTCATAATTCACAAAGCTCAATCTCAGATTAAAAAAAAATCTCCATCAGATTCAGATTGTTTAGATAATAAAATCCCTATATTTAATGGTTGTTTTGAGGCTTGTTCCGTTGGAGTATGATTAGGAAACTTCGTCATCTCCGAGGGTGATACTTCTCGTGTAACGAATGAATAGTGTGTGTATATATATATATATATATGAATATACATGTATATATAATAAAATTGTAAATTTGTAAAGTATTTAGGGTACGTATTTTAAACTTTTAATCTAATTATTTAGGTTAAAGGAGCTCTTTGACTAGTCAAAAGGTATTATTTAAGTCATTTTGTATAATGTCAGATCTTGCAAGCGAGGAGGGGCGGAAAAGACGGAACAAACGTTTTAGATGTAAATGATAATAATTTTTAAAATGTATTTTAAAGTGATATTTTAAAGAGTGTCACTGAAATTATATATTTTAACTAACTAGAGGGATGTTACTGTAATTTGCTTCTTATCATCAACTCTTTCTCTGGGTCGCAGACGCCAATAACTCTCTCTAAAATAAAAATAATAATAATAATAATTCTCTCTATCTCTGGGTCCATGATGACGATGATGATGGAATAAGGGATGGTCCTCAGAAAACTCCCTTCTTTCAAATTAAGAAAACCTAATTTCAGCTCTCGAAGCCCCGCGGCCGTCCGGTTCGGGTCCCCGATAATGTCTTCCTCTCTGCTCACCGCAGTCTCAGCATCAGCTTCTTTCGTCGTCAACGAAGACTACCACCATCGGAAAAAAATTGAAACTATTTCGCTTGGACACACCACCCGCCCTGATTTTCCCATTCTTCACCAGGTATTACTTCTCACTCTTCTCTATATCTCTCTATACACGGATTGTCAATTCCAGTACATAAACCAGAGTTGTCACAGAAGCTGTATGAATTATTTTGTATTTTTCCTTTCCTGTTGTTAGGTGTATAAATTTACTTTTTTTTGTGTAAATTTAGGGTGTTATTGTGCAAATTTTGTTAAAGATTTGGAAATATACATGTATTTGCTATGGGATTTGCTGGAAGGATATCAACTTGGATTGGTGTAGGAGGTTATGTTGGAAGACTGAAATTTGAGGTCATGTTAGCAGTGGATGCAGGTTTTAGGTCGGAAATGAGGTTAGGTTAGGAATGGTTTTATTTTTTGGAAGGAAAAGGCTTTTATTTATTTATTTATTTATTTATTTTATAAGTGTTCTTGGAAGGAACAGGATTGCTTGGATTCTTCGAGTTAAAATCTACCAAGGAATCAATAAGAAGATTTTAGAGTTACTGACCTTCTTGGGTGATTGGGTTCTTTAAAGTCAATTTTACATAGTCAAGTGCCATTAAGGCATTTAAATTGCGATTTTTTTTGGTTGTAGATGCTGTCTTTTTGTGTACCCAAAGATTTTAAAAATGGCAGCATGAGTTCATTTTGGAGTTTGGATGAACACATGAGTTGATTTTTTGATGGAAAATAGCATTTAATAAGCTACATAATGCTGTTCACAAATCGTTGTTTGGTCGGGTTGTGATGTTGAGGGGTTTATGGATTTTAAAAGGTGAAAGAAATGATGAAATCTTTGTTGGCTGGAAACGTTTTGAAAGGGCTTGGGTTTTGTTGCTTGTTGTAGCATTTTCAGAAGATGTGTTTGAGGGCTTTTGGGCAGCAATGATTTTAAGGGTCTTGGGTCTTAAAATTAAAAGTTTATGAGGTACCAAAATGGGCTCGGATTGGGAAATTTTACTTTTAGGCTGGAAAAACAAAAGATGGCATCTGCTTGTGATTGGACAATGAATTATATTTTCATTGAATCAAAAAAGGGAGGACAAGAATGTAGCTTTTGGGATGCGTTCCCCTTTTTGACCATTTTATAATAAATATTTACTTATCAAAAAAAAAAAAGGAGGACAAGATTGTCATAGGAATTATTCTTATGTCTATGGGACGCATTCCCCTATTGAATGCCTTTTTTAATTTATTATTACTTATCAAAAAAAAAAAAAGATTGTCAAGGAATTATGACATTCTCATAATTCCTATGAGAATGTCATAGGAATTATGAAAATTGTAGCATGACATTTAGGGTGACTTTTGCATCGCAATGTGCCTAGAGGGCTTGAATAGTATTCTTTAATTTTTAAAAAATTCAAGAAATAGGTGCTAATTTTGATTGGAACAATGAATTTTTGTTCCAAAGAATAAATATAATAGAATTACGCCTAATATCCTTTGGCATTGGTTTAGGGTGAGGGGTGACAGCACGTGAGAGTTTCTTGAAAATATTTTCAACTGCTCTCTGTAGAAATTGAAAGAATTGGTAGATATTCATATTGATCTTTAGTTGTTCCCATATTCCACTAATAATTAAGACTTGAAAAATCATTACCTTCAAACTTTAACTAGTTAAAATAATCTAAACATACTCGAGGGTTGCGGCCTATTTAAAGGCCCAGCTAGTCACTATCATTATCAAAATAGAATTTGTGGGTGTCTTAGTCTTTCAAGATATGAAATTCACTCAACACCATTTACAGGATGAAGCTTAGGAAAATGCAAATGGGATTAAACCGGCAACATGCTATTATAAAGAGAAAAGATACAAACTAATATGTTAAAATTTGATTTTGTCAGGTCCCAAGAGGTCCCGTCTTGAAATGAAACAACTGCCCAACTTATTTTTCTTAAATAGAAAACTCTTCCTTTAAGCCTCTTATCCACTATATCAGGATATTAATTCCCAAAAAGAAAAATAAAAAAGAAAAGAAAATGTTGAATGTAGACTTATATTCCATTGAAACAAGTATCAACTATCCATTTTAGAATCAATCTATTCAATACATTTAATTCTAAGGTGATGTTATACGCCATCTGCAGCAGCTCACCCCTCCTGTTGCTCTTCTATCCGGTGACTGTTAAATCCTTATGCCAACTTCAAACACTTTTTCTCCCAGTATAAATAGACATAATTCTTTTATTGTTGTGTGAAGAATATTGTTGTCACCCAGAAGTAGTTTTGTCCTTTTATGGTATTGTATGATCTCGCTTTATGAGCCTCTATGTGGTTCGCAGGAGGTAAATGGCTCGAAACTTGTCTACTTGGACAATGCGGCAACCTCTCAGAAACCCAATGTTGTTTTGAAGGCTTTACAAAACTATTATGAAGCATACAATTCAAATGTGCACCGGGGGATCCATTTCTTGAGGTATTCAATATTAAATTGATAATATAGTATCTATAGATAAGCATTTTTAACTTGAAAATTAGATATGATCTTATGGATTTTTCTCTATATGCTTATAATGGGGTGAGGTTTTTCAAAGCCATACTCCAATGTGATTTTTATTCGTTCAATTATTCTTTTATTTATTTGCTTATCTGTATTTTTGCAGTGGGGTTGGAGTTTGAAATTCAAATTTAATTATGCTGATGACACTTTCTTATCATATCTCTTGAATTTAGTGCAAAGGCAACAGATGAATATGAATTAGCAAGAAAAAAGGTGGCAACTTTTATCAATGCATCTGACTCTAGCGAGATTGTTTTTACAAGAAATGCTACTGAAGCTGTCAACTTAGTTGCTTACTCTTGGGGCCTTTCAAATTTAAAATCAGGAGATGAGGTGTGCTTCTGTTGTGTTTTGTTCAATTCATGATTGTGACTCAATGTTACAATTTGAGCTAATTGTAATTCTTCTAATGTTTAATTGAATATAAATAAAGTTTACTCATTTCAATTTGTTCATTGATGGTGGATCACCATGTTTCTGGTAAATTACAAGTTGTATTCAAAATGTTTATTAGATGTTTCTTATACACCATATTCACCTAATAGCAAATATTTTTATTGCAAAGTTTTCTACTAGGTGAAAATGGTGTATAAGCTTTTTTGCACTATCTGATATAGAAGGCAATCTGTATTAGTGGTTTATTTCTGGGTTACTAGATACCTGGGTTTCTTTTGTATTCTAGAGCAGTTACAACATTGAGTTTGATTATGCATGGAGAATACTGTTTTATTTAACGTTTTGGATCTAACTCAGTAACTCTTGATGCTGATTATGTTCACTTCGTACTTTAATTATAAATCGTGATAAAATATGCATTTTCTTTCACAACTTATTCATGATCACTACCCTTCCTGTTCTTATGTAATTTTACGGATCTCTCTGTTCCAACCTCATTCTAGGACTTTCATCTTAAAATGGTTAATTTAATCCGCATATCCATGCCACATTTCTTGCAGATTGTGCTAACAGTTGCTGAACATCACAGTGCTATTGTTCCTTGGCAACTTGTAGCTCAAAAGACTGGTGCTGTTTTACGGTTTGTGAGCTTAACTGGAGATGAAGTTCCAGATACTGAGAAGTTGAGAGAGATGCTCTCAAGGAAGACAAAACTTGTGGTTGTTCATCACATCTCAAATGTGCTTGGTGAGTTAATTGCTCGCTTTGAAATTTTCTTTTGTACATTGATATAACCTTTCTTTTTCTTCCACTTCATCCAACTGTGTCAGAGGAGGTTGTGTGCATTTTATCCAACAACCTGGTTATACATAACTAGTACATAGAGTTGACTTGTTTGAAATTACCATTGGTCCCTTTTTTTTCTTTTTCTTTTTATTTATTTATTTATTTTTTGGGAGGGGCAGGGAATTAGAGGTAGGAATGAGTCTTGAGATATATGGCTGATAAGTATTACTATTGTTAGGGTTTTATTCAAATCTGTAGGTCTTAACACGAGTAAAAATCATTATCTTGGGCTTAAGCCTTCTTGTCTCGAGTGATGTACTGTACTCTGGCGCATCAGTGCATCACATCTTGTCTTACTGCAATATCTAGATATTTTTCTGAGGTAAATCATGGCATCTCTAGCGCACTTGTTTTTGTTGGGTGAATGCCCATCTCCTTTTGTGATATTAATTACTGGTACCCTGGTTAGTTGGAGAATTTACTGCACCAAATTTTATAAATCTGAAACTTAGCATTTGTGTCAATAGACAACATTCTAGACATGCAACATTCTAAAAGCCGGGCCTCATTGTAGCTATTTGAAACAAACTTATATTAATTCTTGGTTAAAAGATTTAGGATTGCATGTATGTCTATTGTGTTCTAATGTGGAATAAGATCAATGATATGCATAATATCATGAATTTTTTTTACTGATTTTTGGTGTACTTTGTTGTAGCTTCTGTTCTTCCAATTCATGAAATTGTGCTTTGGGCACATGATGTTGGGGCAAAAGTGGTAGTAGATGCTTGCCAAAGTGTTCCACACATGGTGGTTGATGTCCAGAACCTTGATGCTGATTTTCTTGTTGCTTCTTCTCATAAGGTTAGGTTATTGCCATATATTATGGATGAGTTGTGGATGAGTTGTGGATGTTAAGTAATAACCATGCTTCAGATGTGTGGGCCTACAGGCATTGGATTCTTATATGGTAAGAGCGAGCTCTTGTCTGCCATGCCTCCCTTCTTAGGTAAGTCTCTTTGCTATTATATTCACAAATTTAGAAAAATATCCTGTCTATAGATTTATCTATTGAATACATGCACATATACATCCTCTCTGTTGCACCAATTTCTTTATTTTTTCTTGCAAAGATCAAATATATTCTTTTTAGTAGTAATGGAATAATTTTGACAAGAACTTTCTTTAGAACACTTCCTGAAATTACTTTTTTTCATGTAAACTAATTCTCAGGTGGTGGTGAAATGATCTCTGATGTATTCTTAGATCATTCAACTTATGCTGAACCTCCATCCAGGTTAGTGGCTTTGTTACTTGTTGTTTACGATTCAATCTGATCAATAAATGGAAAATTTTGAAGCACCTCTAGCTAGGGGTGGCAATTCATGCTTGTGGGTCATAATCGTGTCATGTCAACCTAAGGGTATTCTACTAAAGAGGTCAACCCAAACATCACCCATATAATAATGGTGTCAGGAACCCTTAACACTATCCTAACTAGTGACCTATTTATTATAACACTCAATCAAACAATAAATACTACAAAAAGATATACATTAGCTAAGGAGCTAATGTATATTTTTGTTAGAATTTATGTTGTAATGACCTAATTGTACATAGTAATTGGGTCTTAAACAGGTAACGAGTTACACAAGTGATATATTAACACGATTATGGAACTTTTAGCTAAACATGTTGAACCCCTCGACCCTAACATGACACGATTAATTAAACGGGTTAATCTTGTCGACCCGTTTATGACCCAAACCCAATTAAGGTAAACCCAAACTCGTTTATATTGTGTCGTGTTTGAGTCGTGTTGAATTTTGCCACCCCTCTAGCTTTGCTCTTTCTTGCATTAGGTGAATATGCGTTTGGTTGATGGCAGAATTTGATTATACTGCCCTACTTAGAAGAAAGTCGGATTGATTAGATTGTTTGAACCAGCAGAAAGCATATATATTTAAGCATGTATCTCTTAAATATTGGCATTTCTGGGAATATTGGTTGGAAATGAGTTTCAAGTGTTCCCCTGACAAATGGGGATCCCACTTTTTGCAATGCGAGGGAAACATCTAGGAAGCACATGGAAGATGGTGGGAGTTTAACAGGCTGAGGCATAGAAATGTTCCGAGTAATATTGTTTTTCCATTCATTCCTCTTACCTGCTTTCCCTTTAATTATTTATTTATTTTTTCTAATTTCAGTTCTCATATTTTACCATATTTTAAAAGATTGAGTATCTCATACTTTTCTCATTGTTGTTAGTGTCCTTCATTCCTTTTTGTGATGTCCCAAAATAGGTTTTGTTTGAAAGTTCAATGTAATCCAATTGTAGTTTTCCAGATTATCCCTGACTTCCAAAAACTTTCCTAATCAATAATATATATCCTTAAAACTTTTGGAGGGCTAGTTTTGAAATTTTAAGGGCATATGTGCATTAAGTGCACGAGGGCGAGCCTTGGCGAACGTAAGGTTGCTCCAATGTTACTTGGAGGTCATGGGTTTGAAAAAAGAAAACAGACTCTTCATAAGGCTCCGTTTTTTATTCATTAAGTGGATGTCTCTTTAGAAAGTTGGAGTCCTCAAAAGGGACATTAATTTTGGGAGTGAGTACTTTTTAAAGATCACTAAAAGCTAGTGAGGGTTCCCCAAATAACTCTGCAAATATGGACTATTTATGTTATGGTTCTTTCCCTAGTTATGGAATCATCTCCTTTATGTGATCCATTAGTGCCAGGGGCTGAGCCATGTTTCTCTACATGTACAACATTATTCTTTAAATTGAGAGGCAAATATTGGCATATTCATGAGTCACTGGCTAATTAGAGAGATTGAATCGTCACTGATGTTACTTGTTTTTTTTTTTTTTCCTTCCGAACTTAGAATTTAGGCTTTTAGACTATGTATAATGTCAGGAAGAAGTGTTCCTTTGTGCAATATGGTTAATGGGTATATTATCATTTTAAATTTCCTAGTTTCAAAAGTTACCTTTGGAGTTTCTATTAACCATATCTGACCTTTGAATTAAAGGAGATTACTTGTCAAGTTTCTTTCTGATTTCTGGCAGTTGTGTTAGTCTTTGTTTGGATTGTGCTAGTTAAGGAATCAAGTGAGAAATCTCACTTTGCCAACCATTCGTCAACTTGAATACTAATTCAATGGTCTAATTATTTGATCAAGATACATAGACCTTACTTTTTGTCAATGTGCTTTGAATGCTTTAGCAACGAGCTTGCTTTTCCTATTATAAACAAGTGCTATCAGTTGGCTGAATCGCATACTACATTCTTGTTTCCTGTCAATTGTTGGCTGTGACTGTTAGACCAAGAGGGGGAGGGGGTGAATTGGTCTAAGTAAATTCTTTCCTCTTTTCAAGAAAACTTGAGAATCAAAACACATTTAGGAGAAGAATAACCAAGACACAGCACAACACAAGATTTACAAGGAAACCCTATCAATAGGGAAAAACCTTGGTTCTTGGCTCCTGCCAATAAAAGCTCCACTAGGTGATGTAAGTTGTTACACACTCAACTGTCTCACTCTCAGTACACTCCTTGTACAAGTAAGAACATTGACTTTCACACCCGCTACACACACACTAGCTCTTCATCTTCACTTGTTGTATGCAAATAGTTACTCACTCAGCTGCCCCACTTTCCACACACCTTGTACTAGCTAGGACATTGATTTTCACTCCCTTTACACATACACAAGCAACAACAATAAGCACACATGCACTCCCCCTGTCCTAAGCAACCCTGCTTGGACTTACTGAGATCTTACAACTTTATCAACAAGAGAATAAGGTGTCAAAACACCAAGTACTATGTACTTAAGCTGTTACAACAAATTAGAGTGCAATACACAGCCTTAAGTATTAAACAAAGTGAAACCCTAGCTTTCTCTTTACTACATCAAGAAGGATTGAACTGTAAAATCACAATGCAGCTTCACTTGTAGCTCACACTAGGTTCCCACAGCCCTGAATTAGCTCAACTAACTTGCTCATATCAATCTAGAACAATGGACAGCAAGTATACAATAATATCAGCACACAAGGCTTCAACACCCTAGACAAGGGTAAATCTGTCAAATCACCCTGTAGCTTCACCACTGACAATTCTTCTATATCCACAGTCTTGATAACACAAAACAACCTTGCTCAACAGGTTAAATCAATGAAAGGAGCAAGGAATGATAAATAAGTTCACATTAGGCTTGGAATACAATAAGCCTTAACTTTCAAGCTTTCAAGGGCAATTATGTCAAAACACCTGAAACTTTTGCAACTGAAGATTCTCACAACCTCATATAATCATAATACACTTGCACTAACAGTGTCTTCAATTATCACAGCAAGATAAGGTCAATTAAGCATAAAATCAGTTGCAAAACAGTTTCTGCAGGGTCTAATTCAGTGCTACTGAAATGCCTCTATTCCGAGGCTATAACTGGTATTCTGTGAGGTCTCAGACTTGGAATGCACTCTTATAACCTTGTATTATATCCACACAAAATCCCAGAGATTAAGCACATCAAGAAGTTCATTAATCACAGCCCCAAAAACTGTTATCAGTGAGTTTCTGCAGAATAACTTCAATTAACAGCAATGACAGTACACAAACACTATAATGGTTCTGTTCAGCTTTAACCCCAGCAATCTCAGCTCCCAAACTTAACTTTACACTTGCTTGATATATTAGAATCAAGAGCTAAGCCAGGTAAAACAATTCAACACATATTCCAGAAGATCACAGTGCACAGCAGGTTAGTTTAGTCTCAGTTCAGCAGCAACTTAATTCTTAGGGCAATTCTGGAATTTCGAACTCGTTCAGCACTTGTTCAGCTTCTCACAGTCTTGTATAATCAATATACTCATGTTCAATTGAAAATCACAGTGATTGAACCATGGTATCACAATACAGTTCACAAATCTCAGCAAGACAAGGTTAAAACCTTAGTTTGGTGTGGTTCTTAGAGTCAATACTTAAACTAACCAATTTTCTGAGATGGATTCAATTTTAACTGCATCAAATCATCAAGTTACTCATGCTCAGATGATAAACTCTAGGCTTATAGCATATTAAATCAAGGAAGTAATCCACAGCAGCTATTTCATCTCAAAATACTCAAATATCAAGCTCTAAGGAACCAAATTCTGAAGTAGTGAGTATTTGAGCTTATACCTGATTTCAGCAGATGTAAATAGGGGTTTCAAACTTGCTTCAACCTCTACTTTTCACCTCAAGCCTCTAGAACCAAATTAGACCTCCCATAGCAGCCTTGACAGCAACTTTTAAGCCTTCAAGTGATCACATACACACAGCAATTTCTGAGATTAAAAATGAGTTTACATAGTTGAATTAATACTCAGAAACTCTCATTCAGCTCCCCCTTTTCGTGTCACTCAAGAACAGCCTCTAGAGAGTATTGAAAATATATTTTTCAGGCTTAAACCTTAGCAGCAGCTGTAGCATTGCTTTTATTCACACACCCTTTGATGATGCAGCCCTAAAACCAATGGATAGGATTGAGCTAAGGTCCTCCAATCTGTGAGCAAAGAAATTCTGACAATGTAGAGGAGATAATACCATTTTGCCTCTTGCCAACTCACCTTGAAAAGCATATATCAGCTTACAATATCAATATGTATATAAATATATATCTGAAAAGCCTTTTTGATCTCGATCCCCAAGAAATACAAAGCTGTCACTATATTCTCACTCCAGGACCACATTACACGTCAGCTTTTTTTAGATACACTCGAAATTACAGTACTGCCCCTGCAATTGCCTTTTGACAGAAAAGCTAAAAGCACACTGCTGAACCATGTGTTGGACTGTCACATTTTAAAGCTGAACCCAAACAGCCAATGTAGCATCACAGCAAATATAATTTGAATATTGTGATGTGTATAAAGATAAGAATGCCCTTGACAAAGGCTGTACGCAAATTAAGTATGCTGTCACAGAATTTACAAACACAAAAAGAGGGCTGCAAGCACAAAGAGGGCTGCTGTGACTTTCATGATATTTCAGTGAGACTTTCATGATATTTCAGTGGCTATGAGCTTATATCAACTTGTAATTCATTGTGTAAACCTCCATGACATGTCAAACAACATTTGATCAAACCCCAATATATCATTGCTCTCTTTGAACCTTTATACTTGCATTTTGTCATTAAAAGGGCAAACCTCAAGATAGGCATCTTAGGGACCAACAGTGACATTATCTCTTACTATCTCAATCCCCGACTCTTTGTTGCCTTTTTCTCCTTTCCATGGTATGCCACTCCTTAAGACTCACACAAGTGACTTAATTGGGGTACTCATTGTTTTCTACTATGCATTGCCAAATCATCTTATTTCACTTGCTCTAAATATGTCCCGTTGATAATGTCCCCTCTTGGTGTTTTGAAACTTTTTACTATATTATGCACACTTGTTGTTTTCTGAATTTATATGAAAAGCTTCCTTGTTCCTCATGGTTTGAAAAGATGGCTTACATCTGCATTCAAGTATAAAGTATTCCGTGTTACACCATTTCAGCAGTCTTAAATTTAATATTAATATCAAGTATTTTAATGGCCGTGTATTATGGATTTTCCCTGTAAGTGTTTATAAATGGGAATACTTTTTGGCACTTGCCTTCCACTTTTTTATTTTATTTTATATGCTAGTTTGTAAATCATTGTTCATCCACTCTTCAATTTGTCAGATTTGAAGCTGGGACACCTGCCATTGGAGAAGCAATTGGGTTAGGAGCAGCAATTGATTATCTCTCCGGAATTGGCATGCAAAACATTCATGATTATGAGGTGAGTCCTTTGCCTCCTGTTTAATGAAATGCAATATCAGCTAGCTAGCTCTCAATTAAAGGTCAGGTTTGGTGTTAGAATTTGTCAGTTGTATGAGTGAAATCCGTGTATATAAATTTGGATATAAAGAGAAATGGAGTTCAAATCTGACGGCCTTCGTTCTTCTGTGGACACAACATATATAACATATTTGATTTCTGCATGTACTCAATTAGTCGGTTACTCTCTCTCTCTCATATATATATATATATATATATATATTTCATCTGGGTGGTGGGCCCATTAGAGATGGCCCTCCCTCATTTTTATGGATTTCCCAGCTTCTTTTTAACCCCCTACTTCAATTCAAGGTGTGGGATTAGTGAAAGACAGTGGTACAGCGATCTAGAAACCTTTTCAATTGAGACCTGCAATGGCTACTTGTTAAAAACAGCAAATTGTAGAATAATGATGAGAAACCTAGTATCACGCTTTTTTTTTTTTTTAATGAATTTGTCCTAGGGTTTGGAAGCATCACTCATTTGAGTAGGGCAAGAATTTCTCTTGGAGTTTTCATAGTAAATGGTGCAGCTGCATCCTCTTTTTTTAAGTGCCCTGCTGGAAATTATCGCGATACTTTTGAAATCATAGTACGACTGTTTTAACTCTTGTAGGCTCATGTTTGCAAGCCTCAATACTTTTTGTATGTGCATTTGGATACTTACTGGCCTTTCAAACCTTGATAAACCAATTTAGTGAAACCAGACCCAGCCTTGATCACTTAAATTACTGAAACATAGGGTTTTCTTTCCTTTATTATTATTATTATTATTATTGGGGGGGTGTGGGGCAACTGTTCTTTATGAAAGCATTTAAGAGACTGAAAACACAGGTTTTCTTTTCCTTTATTTATTTTATTTTATTTTTTAGGTGGGTTGGGGGGGTTGGTTCAAGTTCCAGGTGGATCCTTCTTTACTCTATTGCCAACTTGGAGCTGTTTCTTTTGATGTGCTACTTTTATGTGTCAACTGGCATCCTTATTACCCTATTATTTGCATTTTGAAACTTCTTACATTATTCTTTACATTTTCTGCTAGATAATTTACTTTACGAGAGAATTTTAGGTGTTACTGATTAAGCTTTCACCTTCCAATATCAAATTAAGGAAAACTTGAGCAAGAATATAACTGAGTTCTGATTTTTTGATGACTTTATAAGTTAGTATGATTAGGTGGCTTTTGATTCCAATTTTGTGTTTCCAGGTAGAACTGTCTAATTATCTATATGAAAACCTACGATCAGTCCCCAACGTACAAATATATGGCCCAGTACCTTCCCAAACTGTCCAGCGAGCTGCGCTTTGTTCTTTCAACGTTAAAGACATTCATCCTACAGATATTGCAACTTTTCTTGATCAACAGGTATCTACAAAAATTCAGGACCTTTCCAGTGCAGTAGATTTATGTGTTACATGTTATTCTAATGTTTCAGGGGAGGTAAGTGGAATTTACCCAAGAATCTTTTGAAATGTCATGGAAAATGGATTTTGTGACAAGGAGCATATTCTGTTTCAGCATGGAGTAGCTATTAGATCTGGTCACCACTGTGCACAGCCCCTCCATCGATTTTTAGGAATCAATGCAAGTGCACGGGCAAGCCTTCACTTTTACAACACAAAAGAGGACGTTGATGACTTCATTCATGCTCTTAATGACACAGTCGGCTTCTTCACATCTTTCAAGTAGCCGAGATCCTCTGTGAATGCTGGACGCGTTTAAATTGGGTTCTTTACTTTGCTTATGTTATGAGAGAGGAGTATATTGTACAATGGAGGTTGGAGAATTCATGTGGCCGAACCCACTCATATGGGATTGAGGCAAGGATGATGATGTATAATGGCATCCGCTTTCTTCCTTTTTTCCTTTTTTCCTTTTTTTCTTTTTTGTAATCATAATAAGAGCTATTCATGAGTCAGTAAATGATTAATGAGTACTTGTACATCAACCGTTGGCATGATCTTTTTGTCTTGTGGTGTATAAGCTTTGGTATATTGATGAAAGATGGTCGTAACAGGCGCCTAAATGCAAAATTCTGAATTGAGAATGGGGTTACAGAAGTTGGGAAGAGGGCTTGTTACAAAAATTATTTTCTTCGGACTAAACCAAACATGTCCTTGCTTCGCAACTTCAATTGTCAGTCTCAGCAGACTTTCGAAAACTAAACCAGAGTTGTTCAGTCACATGTTTTTGTCCATCTTATCCTCAAAAACTGGAATTGGTTATTCTAGATTTGCCAATAAACAATTGGTATTCTCAGATAAATAGTGACCTTATTACCCAGTTTGAGGCCCAATTCTCTTTGCTAGAAACATTTGTTCCCTATTGATAAGCTGACCATGCCAATCTGCAGAATAAGAGGGAGAAGGAAGAGCTGTTCCCATTCCTCTGCGGGTGCCAAAATGATTGAGATGGCTTCTTTGCGTCGAATAAAAAAGGAACCAAAAATGGGGTCCCCTGTCTAAATGCTCACCGGAGGCTAAGTACTCGAACCTCACTGGGATGAATAAAACCCTTACACATTGAAAGCACGTAGATGGCACAAATACAGTATAAAACCCTTGCACATTGAAAGCTGGATTGCAGAAATACAAAAATGTTTTCAACACAACCACTTGTAGTCTACTTCCTCTGACAAATTGCTATAGACATTGTACCTAAATTTGATAAAAATGTTTTTAAGTACAACAAACAAGAGCAATTCTAGGCTACAATTATTGTCCGAGACAGAGTCCCGTGAGGCAAGGGTAATCTTCAGGTTTAAGGGTAGATCCAACCCAAAGCTACAAGGATAGGGCAGAGAACTCAATAACCACAACAAAATTTTCAGTAACACCTTGTATCATTCCACCAATACTGGAATGCAAGACACTGGCCAACTGATTTTGGTTTTCAAACCAACATGATTATCATTTAGATTTAGTTTGATTCATGGATAATGAAGGAAAAGAAACATTGTAAAGGAAATCTTCAATTTCTTTTATCCGGTTTGGATATCAGCGAACCAAACGCAACCTTGCTGTTTTTATGGAAAATATTGCAGACTATTTGAATCTCATTACAAAAAATTATTCATGGAGCTTATGATTGTACTATGAACTTAATCTAGACAGACACAATCATTGAGTATGAAGGTGGCATCCCAATAAACCTAAGAAAACTAAGGAAATAACTGGCAAAACTGATATTGCTCTATTCCTCCCCAAGGAAAAAAGAATACGGAGGCCCAGACTCACTCACTGAACAGCAGCACAACTACTGAAAAAACCTAGGAGATACAAGGGAAGCGAAGGGGAAGGTCATTGAGATTGGAATTTCTCTTTCCTCGCCAAGGATTCCCCCTTGTGCTCACTGCTAGCAGTAACAACATAACCTGCTCCAACCTGAAGTGAAACACAAAGCATATATGAGCGACCACATGCACGCAGGCGCGCGTGCACACGCGCACACAGAGACAGAGAGACAGAGAGAGAGAACCTGACAGTCCTTCAAAACAACACGCTCTTGGAGCTGTACATTACTGCAAATAACGGAACCTTGAATTGAACAACCATCTCCAATAGTAGCATGGTTCATCACAACTGAATTAACAACCTGCGGATACAAGGGATCAAAACAATTTGCAATTATCTCAACTGTAGTTCTGCAACGAGTCTACGATATAAATAAAGTCCAGCATTAGTTAATAATAAAAGTTCCAGCTCTTCGTAACCAAATAATATATAGATGAAAATCCTTTATGGTTTTCTTTTTTCTTCTTCGGAGGTAGATGCTTCATAATAACATTCTCTTTATAGTAGTTTCATTTTACCTTTACATTGGAACCCATCCGGCAGTGAGAGCCAATAACAGATCGTTTCACACTGCATTTGTCACCCATTTGTGAACCTTCCCCCAACATACACTGTGGGCCCGCATAATGAAACCAAATAACTTTATGAGCATACTGAGAATGACCTGGAGTCGGTGAACCACAAATATTCTAATCTAGCAAGATGCAAACACCAATTTAAACTATTTACAGGTACTCTTAATCACTAAACCTTTTTTGTCTAATAATTTCCTTTGTAAATAAACCAGTTACAATAAACCAACAAGTTTTCCATAAACAAAGATTGAATGAAGAGAGAGCAACTCACTGTTCTTTTTGAACCAAGAACCGCTGAAGGATGAATTATGTTATTCTGAGCAGAAAATGAATATCCTGACAGGTGACTTGCCTCTCCTATGGCCTGACACACTTAAGTATGACCATCAGCCCCACCTGATCAAACAAATGCAAGAGAAAAAAAGAAACACAAAAGTAAAACAAACTTCTAAGCACTCGCAAAAAGTTTCAACTGAAAAAACTCACATCTCGATTTATGTCGCTGAAAGCTTGAATCGAATTCAAGCGTGCACAGTACTTGCTTTTATTGGCAATATAAACACAGCATTTATGGGTTTTCCTCAGAGCAGGAGAAAAACCATTGTCACCAAAGGCATAGAGTTGATGAAAGCTTGGGGTAGATGCATTTGCCAGCAGTTGAGACGGCATTACTTTGTTGCTCTGGAAAGCAACCTTCTCACTGCATCATGTCGTCTATGGGTAGCCGCCACTGCCCTAGGAGGAACATCACAAACAATATCACCACTCACAACCTGCATAAGCATAAAGAACTAATAGTTTTAGTAGAATAACCTTTGTTTTTTTTCTTGAACTCAAACACTATAGAAGATGAGAACTCCAACCAAGATATCGTTTGCAGTCAGAGATGACCTGCAATGGCCCGAAGAGCACCAGCAGTCCCAACATCCTCAGGGACAGCAGCTACCTGCAAACATATAAAACTGAACTTAAACTCTTTCTTAGAAGAACTTGTGAGTTTCATAGTGATGAAGGGTCCTCAAATATTAACAATGAATAATTGCACGACATAATATGAATTGAGGCACGTGTTGCCAGCTCTAAGAAAGGGTGCACAGTGTGTGTGCACCCGAGAGTGTGTGTGTGTGTGTGAGAGAGAGAGAGAGAGAGAGAGAGAGATTGATTTTGGGCAACTAATGAATCTGCATTAAAAGAAAAAATTGAGCTTCTTGTGCTCCTCACAGAAGAGGAATGAGAGTTCTGTTAAACAATACAAATTCTATATTTTCCATAAAGACAACACAGAAGCTGCTTACCAATACTCCCCTGATATTGAGACATCTAACATCTAGCTATCTAGGACAATTACTATGTTTATATTATAATCCACCACATTTTTCTTTAATCAATGTCACTTGCAGCATAAGTTAAGCAATTCAGAGAGGTTATTAGCAGATTTATAAGAATACTATGCCATCAGATGACGGGGGAAAAAAAAACACCCCTCCCCATTATTTAGTGAAAGCTGTCAGCCACTATATATTAGAACTCCATTTGATTCATTAAGGTTACTGGCTCTCTTGGGTTCTTTCTCTACCATCAGGATCAGAGTCCTGGCTTCCAACCAATACATTAGAATTTCACATTGACTTGGTACCGTTACTAGCTCTCTTGGATTCTCTCTCTACCATCCGGGATCAGTTCCTTCCTTCAACCAATACAAATGTACATTGATATTGACAGTGACCATTACCCCGTTCGTTGAAAGTAGAGAGACAAGATATTGATTTTTTCAAGAGTTAACAGCAATGACTCTACTAACAAGTGCTGAACAATCTAACACTTCAAATAAGTTGAGTTAAAGAACTTTATTGTTCAATGAGAATAAGGGGGCTCTCATTGCAACGCACCCATCACTTCTAAATTTGACATTTGAAGTGCTATTGATACAGCATGACATATGGAATATAGAAATTTTCCAATTTAGATTTCACCACTGATTATTATTCTTGCCCTTCCCACATGTGTTTCCCTACTACTTACACAGAAATACTTCCCCCTGAACTCAAAGACCATTAATTCAATAATTTTTTTCGTATAACTAAGAGATGGAGCTTGAGACTCATAAAAAAATAAAAATAAATAAATAAATAAATAAATAAAAAAAACAACAACAACTTAGAGATGGAGTTTGAGAAGGTAGAATTAGCAACCCTTTGATTAGAAAACCAGAGAAGACATCTAAGAGATTTGTCCACGTGAAACAAAGATTAAAAGATGCACTTGTAACAAAGAGCGACAACATCAACATTTGAAAGTAGTGCAAGGTAAAAGGGAATACCAACACTACCATGAGATGGTATGGAAAAATACAGTAGTGTTCGGATTAACTCAAGTCTAACCCTAGACAGAGCAGAATGGCAAAAAAATACTCGTGTAATTGAGCCCAAATAGTTGAGACAAGGTGAGTTGAGTATACGAAAATCTTGTAATGTTTCTGTTTTTCAACATTTTCTATTTTTTGGAATTTTCTGTTTTTGCAAGGACATTTTTGTCTTTTCTCGTTTTGCATGCCAGACACTGTGGGGTGTGCCGGGTGTGTTCGAGAGTTGGTTGGGGCATTCCATTGAGTTCAGGACTCTTAGAAATGCACTGGTTATTACTTCAGCATTTTTCCATTTTTATGGCCGGACGGTCCCGGGTGAGACCCGCTATCGGGATTTTGTGTACGGGAGTTGTGTCACGAGTTCATTGCATACCATGCATAATTATTTTGTGCCTAAGTAAAATTGTTTAAATGTTAAATTGTGTGGTTGTAGTGTAATTATAGCATATGTATATATATGTATAAAATTAAAAGAAAAAGTGGGATATTTGTTAGTGATGGGACCCACCACTAATTCATTTGTGGCCAAGAGGCCATTTTGGCCTCAAAATTCTCTCTCCCCCCGTAAGCTCTCTCTCTTCCTCACTTTTCTCTTCTTTTTCTTTTCCTTTTCTTCTCAAGCTTCAATCTTCAATTACTCTTTCATCTTTTGAAATTTGTTGGTGCTGTTTGCGGCAAATCGGAGAGCTCGTCAAGATCTACGTGTTGATAGAAACAATTCCTCATT